TTCTCTAGCAGAGAGTTATAAAAGTTATAGCAAGTGGCCGGGCCCGGTGGCTCAACCTGTAATCCCAGCACTTTGGGAGGCCGAGGTCAGTGGATTGCCTGAGCCCGCGGGTTCGAGACCTGCCTGGGCAACTTGACGAGACCTCATCTCTACAATAAATCAAAAATTAGCCAGGCGTGGTAGCACGCGCCTGTAGTTCCAGCTACTTGGAAGGCTGAGGCGGAAGGATCGCCGGAGCCCAGCAGGTCGAGGCTGCGGTGGCCGGGAGCGGCCATTGCACTCCAGTCTGGGTGACAGAGTGAGACTCCAACTCAAAAAAAAAAAAAAAAAAGTTATAGCAAGTATATAAAAATATGTTGTTGTATTTTACAGAAATGTCAGCTTTTCTTATTGATTGTGCTTTTAATGATGACTGTCTTGAAATGTTTGTCACTTATAATCATTGCATTTTTGGGTTTTTTTTTAGTTGGAGTCTCACTCTGTCACCCAGGCTGGAATGCAGTGGCATGCTCATGGCCAACACAGCCTTGACCTGCTGGGCTCAGATGATCCTTCTGCCTCAGCCTTCCAAGTAGCTGAAATCACAGGCATGTGCCACTGCGCTCAGCTAATTTTTTGATTTATTGTAAAGACAAGGTCTTGCCATGTTGTCCAGGCTGCTCTCAAACTCATGGGCTCAGGCAATCCTCTCCCCTCAGCCTCTCAAAGTGCTGGGATTACAGGTGTGAGCCACCGCACCTGGCTACAATCATTGTTTTTAATTTGTGACCAACTATGGGACCTTGCTGGGTACTTTTGACTGACTCTTGTGCTGCAAAGTTAGGGGGAGTCAAATTGAAGTTGCATCTGACACCTAGGGTGAGCACCTGACCACATTTCTGACCACATCTGGAGTTCAAGCTAGCCCACTGCCACCTGATTTAAGAAGGTACCTGGGAAGCCGGGCTCGGTGGCTCAGCCTGTAATCCCGCGCCTTTGGGAGGCTGAGGTGAGTGGATTGCCTGAACCCGCGGGTTCGAGACCTGCCTGGGCAGCAAGACCTCATCTCTACAATAAATTAAAAATCAGCCGGGCGTGGTAGCGCGCGCCTGTAGTTCCAGCTACTTGGAAGGCTGAGGCGGAAGGATCGACGGAACCCAGCAGGTCGAGGCTGCGGTGGCCGGGAGCGTCCACTGCACTCCAGTCTGGGCGACAGAGTGAGACTCCAACTCAAAAAAAAAAAAAAAGAAGGTACCTAGGGTCTAACTGGTCTCCAGCCCAACAGCTAAGGCAGGCATCCTCCAGGAACATCGATCCAGGCCAGTCCTCATAAACTCTGAAATAACTCTCATTTTCACACCTGTCAGTATGTTATCTTTATATGTCTTTTATAAATGCTATGCCAGATATAGGAGAAGAAAAAAATGAAATCAAGGACTAGGATCATAATAGCTTGTAATATGAATCCAATCTAAGATGGTTTTTCAGACTAACCTCTAGGCGTGACCCCCTCTGGTCTTTAAACAATTGACTATTAAATCAGGTCAAACCATGTCCTTTCCCCAAGATCCAACATCACTGAGGTGGGAACTATTGTCAGCAAATGGACAGTTCTAGGAATATGCCTCCTAGCTCCTGGGGACCTTGCCAGGTCAACAAAACAGACAACCCTAGGAATGAACCTTCCTAGTGACATGGGACCTCCTGCTGTTAAGAATGATATTTAGCCAATGGGAAAACTAAGGACTGAACTTGACCTTTTTCTCATACCCAAATTCCTAACTAAAGTCTTGGGAAGTCACTGCCTAATAAGAACTTACTAAAAGGGTTTTATTACCCTACTATCCTATCCTATATACTAAGTTTGTTTTCATACCTGACTCTGGCATAGTATCATATTACAGATTTTTTTTTAAAGCAACTTAGGCCAGGCGTGGTGGCTCGAACCTGTAAACCCAGCACTTTGGGAGGCAGAGGTGAGAGGATTGCCTGAGCCCAGGGTTTCGAGACCAGCCTGGGCAACTTGGTGAGACCTCGTCTCTACAATATATATCAAAAAATTAAACTGGGCTCGGTGGCTCAGCCTATAATCCCGTGCCTTTGGGAGGCTGAGGTGAGTGGATTGCCTGAGCCCGCGGGTTCGAGACCCGCCTGGGCAGCGAGACCTCATCTCTACAATAAATTAAAAATCAGCCGGGCGTGGTAGCGCGCGCCTGTAGTTCCAGCTACTTGGAAGGCTGAGGCGGAAGGATCGACGGAACCCAGCAGGTCGAGGCTGCGGTGGCCGGGAGCGTCCACTGCACTCCAGTCTGGGCGACAGAGTGAGACTCCAACTCAAAAAAAAAAAAAAAAAAAAAAGAAAAGAAAAAGAAAAAACTCATGATAGAAATCATGGGTGTAACTACGACAGTGCAGAATGTTATAGACTGAAAAGAGGCCATTTAGGCTATATTAGAACAGTCATTTAGAAAAGACTTAAAAATTTATATTCTTTTGTAGCTGAGTTGAGCTAAATATAAAAGCTGCTTGGATTCAAAAGTGGACATTTTTCCTATTTGCCTCCCCCACACCTCTTCTAGCACAGCCTTGCTCGATTTGCTAATCTTATCTATAGCCATTGCTGGTGCTGAGGAAGAAATAGCAGAGCAAGCCAGACCACCTAATGTTTAGCAGAGTGAACCGCGGCTGGCAGGAACGTGTCTGAAAGCTTGGAGACGGCATTTTCCACCTCCCCTTCATCTGTGAAAACAAGGACATTGGACTGCTATAGGTCAGGGCTCTAGGAATACAAGAGTGTTACAATTATGTTTTAAAACAATTTAAAGTTATCATCTTAAATGTTATGATTTTCTCTTCCTTCCAAATATTGCAATTGTCTGATCCTTCCTCTAAAAAAATAGTAAAAGAACATACTGTAAATTCCAAAATGTCTTCTAAAATGTCAACATGACCAGGAGAGTTTATGTCACATCAGTGGACACATATCAAAAGTTGTTCATGTAATTTTTGGGTCATGAGAAAACTGCACGTAGGCTTCAAACTCAAGGTGAGTGAAAGGTGATAATTTTGGGTAGAAATACTGGAATAAGCCAGGTGTGGTGGTGGCTCACGCCTGTTATCCCAGCACTTTGGGAAATAGAGGCGAGAGGATTGCCTGAGCCCATGGGTTCGAGACCAAGCTGGGCAACATGGCAAGACCTTGTCTCTACAATAAATCAAAAAATTAGCCAAGCGTGCTGGCATGCGCCTGTAGTACTAGTTACTTGGAAGGCTGAGGCAGAAGGATCACCTGAACCCAGCAGGTTGAGGCTGCGGTGGCTGTGAGCACGCCACTGTACTCCAGCCTGGGTGACAGAGTGAGACTCCAACTAAAAAAAAAAAAAAAAAA